TTGGAATGAGGAATAATTCTCATTTAAATAAAGTATAGAATAACTTCATGAAATATTATATGTAATTCTATACAAAAATGATTCAATCGCAAACACGTAGCACAGTATAAATTCTGATTCTAAAAATGGTATATGTAAACTCAACCTTCTAGCAACGCATTGAAGCAGTTAAAAGAATTTAAAGTTGTCTTATTTTTCTTTAGTCAATAAATGATCCAAAGAACGCAAAATCCTATATCTCTTATCAATAACATTATCATATTGCGAACTGATGCATACAATTGGGTTAAGCTGAACAAAGGCGCTATATCTAGCGCAAAAATGCAATGTTCATCGAAGGACTATTCAACGTGAACTGATTGATATGGGTATATACTATCGAAAACAGAAACGTGCTCCTCGATACACAGAAAAATAAATCGAAGAAGTTCCAACACGTGCTCGACGCTTATATCGTACATCATTGAACAATGATATTGAACTCATTATGAACGATGAAAAATATTTCACCTTAACTAATGAATCGGTGTCAACTAATCGTGGATTCTACACATCAGATCCAAGTACCACACCTTCAGAAGTGAAGTTTAAACGCACTCAAAAGTATCCTGCTAAAATTTTGGTTTGGATCGCAATATCTGAAAAAGGGATATCAAAGCCGTTCTTTGCAAAACAAACACAAGCAATTAATGAAAGAACATATTTGAAAAAATGTATTGAAGCACGTTTGATGCCGTTTCTGAACAGCTATCATAATATCGAAAAAGTGTTATTCCGGCCCGATTTGGTGCCTAAAGAAAAATATCCACAGAATTGTCATCAGGCACGTCCTATTGAAACAATTGGGCAAATATTAGAAGAAAAAGTTTATGGCGGTGGTTTGGTAGCCAAAACAATCGACCAATTGAAACGAAGGATACAACAACAGCTGAAAAGAATTGACATGAAGTCTGTACAAGCAATGTTTTCGTCAATAAGAAAGCAATTACGAAAAATCGCGGATAAATGACCATTTGCAGCTTGCTCATTTTAATTTTTACAACATGTGTATACGTACTTTCTTTTAATATGATTAACTGAAAAGTTAAGTTCTTGTTGAGAAAAAATAAATAAAAATAAATTTGTACCAAGACTTTCGCGCCATAGGTTACTGGTCAGTACGCGACTATGTGTTAATGCCATATACACAGGGATGTAAACTTAATTACGCCAATGCGATATGTTTATTGGCTCCTCTATGATTTATAAGTTGAGGTCCGACGGTTTCTATAACCGCCTATTAAATGTAGTCCTTCATGAGTGGCGTACTTCTTGGCACAGATATATTATCGAGTAGTATTTTTATCTTTAAACTTGAGTATCAGATTTTGCTTCTTTTCCTATGAAGAAAATATTTTTCAATCGTTAAATTATTTTTTTATTAGAATTGTTTTTGGTTTTCTTTAAATCTAAGTAGAATAGTGCCTATTTAGAAAATTGCATATTTCTTACTTCTATGTTCTAGAATATCTTTTATGAAATTCTATATAAATTATTCTGTGACATTAGCAGCAATATAAGCTAGAAGAGAAAGCGTAAGAATCAAAGGAAATCTCTCTCTCGAATAGGATGTGGGATGGTTTCAGCATCAAGGGCCTTGTCAGCTGTCATTCATTCACAACTATTATGAATGGTGCTTATTACGCTCACATCCTCAAGACCATCTTATGATCAAAAGCCAAAAAGCAATTTAATCGATGCTGGCGATTACCACAGGATAATGATCCAAAAAATAAAAGTCAGATAGTGCAGAAATTCTTAGATAAAGAAGTTCCAGAAATAAATAATTGACTGGTCATCCAACAGCCCGGATGTTAATCCGATTGAAAACCTGTGGTCAACCATCAAACATCGTGTAGAGAAACGAAGATCAACAAATCTCTCAAAGAGTTGAACAAGTTTCTGCACGAAGAATGAAACAAAGTCGATATGGTCGTTCTAGTTAATTTAATTAAATCCATGAAATCTCGATGTTTAGGTCTTATTGAATCGAAAGGATCAACTATTAATTGTAATATTATTGTACCTTATCGTTGTACATATGCAGTGTTTCTATTCATCATATCTAGTCTAATAAACATTTGCACCACTAAGAATAAAAACTTTTGCACTCCACTGTATGTAGAATTGCGTATATATCGAGATAATTAATCGAAACTCTTGTAAGTGGTACAAGCAAGAATGTTTGGACAATACCAACTTGTAATAATTTATTCAATAATGAGTTTACAATAAACAAGATAGCAATATTGCACTGCTAATAATATGTGCGTATGTTTCTCAATACAAGTCAAGTCTAACACTATTTATATTCTAATAAACTATTTCTTTGAACAACTTAAATTTTAACTACTCTCTGACTTATAGTACTGCCCTATTCCCCCCAATATATCGTGAGCTTATATACTAGCGAGAGAGAAAAGGTACACATAACAATTACGTACTATATTTAGTTTTCTTGATGTTCATCTGTTGGAATCCGAAGTAAATCGAAATGTAACAGCACTCGAATATCAATTTGTTTCTAGATCAATTATATTGTACATGTACGCAAAAATTGCTCAATATTTAGCTACTACTTATTTTTGAATCAGCCTTACAGATATGATTAATGAAGTATTTTCTAATGAAAATTTAATTTCAATAATTTCTTTTCTTGCTTATTTTCCTGAGGAAATTTATGATAGATCAGAAAAGTTTTTGGTAAACTATTTCTTCATCAGCTTTAGTGTTGGGCTATCGTTGATATTGAATTATCAAATATTCTTCTTCTGGCAACACTAACTGAAAAACATCTAGCACTGCTAGAAAGAACACTTGTTTTAATTTCAAGGGTGCGGGTGTTGATGTTCTGAACATCCACACCCACACACCCTCAAGAATAATATAAAAATACGATTTTTTTAAACAAAAAGAGTGTAATCAAGTAAAACTACTTTGATTTAATCATTTAGATAGACCGAAAGAATTAGTATTGAGACTTTGTGTAATTGAACTAGCGACACAAAAATTTAATCAAAGTTAAATAGTTGCAATTGACTCAGTTTTAAACCACACTGCTAGAATTTTAACTACATGAAAACGTAAAACAAATGAAATCTCTCAGTCTGAATTGGCGGTTTTTAGAAAAGAGCTACTCTTGAGAAATCTTTACTAATAATTTAGTAGGTATATAGGGAAAATTCTACTGAAAGATTCTTACTAAATAAATGTTCGAGCGATTCNGAAATAAACGAATATAAAAAATGAACTACTATTGATAGCTAATTCTTTTTTTCTTTTCATTCAGATTCGATGAAAGTTTAGATTTTTTATTTGAATTACATTAGTTTATTAATCCCACTCTAAATTCCATACATTTATTTATCACAAGCGCAAATAGTGAATGATAGTAATAATAAATAAGAACAAAAAGATATGAATATATATATATAGAAACATATTATGTAATAAATATACACTTTTTTTAACTATTTTTATTCAAGAACATAAAAATGTCAACATTTTCGGGTACCAATCTAGAGAGTCTATCTCTAAATTAAAACATTATATCATACGATTGTTTAAAAAAATAATCTCAGAGTCAATGATTTATTAACATGAAATAGCATATTTAGTTTTATTTATTTTATAAGACAAATCGAACGCGACCAATGCCGAAATTTAAGATTATTCTTCGAAGTCTAATATTGAAATATCTCATCTAAATTAATACATTAACACATTGGCCACAAGAAAAATGTCTACATCTATATAGCGTTATAAACAATTATTACGCGATTTCAACGTCAGACGTCAAAAATACATGTTTCTGTTATAGTCGTCTAATTATAAGTATTTATCGTATGATTACGACGCAATACCGTACATGCCGTTATATCGGAAGGAAGCGTAAAAATAGATTACGATAGAACACAAATATAGAGAAAAACCAGATGTTACTAATGTAATTTGTTTTCCATTTCTTTCGTTCTTACGTTTTAAAGATATGTATCGTTTCGCGATAGTCGAATGCGCTTCGGTCCATCACTACTCAAACTATACATATTTATCTGTTGACTGGTTGATGATCCTCTATTCCTAGATAGCAATCAAGTTGTTGCATCGAACTGTGCAGCACGACATGCAACAATTCGCCGAATTCATTCTAGCCACATATAAATCTGTGAAGAATGAACCGGGGCGATTAGCCTTCATTGAAGTTTAGAGTACAGTGACTAAAGAAAAATGAACGTTTACGTACGTGTTTCACATCGAGATCCAGTCCATGATGATGTACACTAAACAAACATATAACTTCTAAGCACTCGCACAAATAATGACTAGTTCTGAACTTACAAGACAAGAGTTTGGCGCAGTGCACGTCCCACCATTCGAACATTGCGGAGAACATGTTGCTAAAATTATATAAAAATATAATCCAATTCCTTAGACTGAAAGAATAGGGCCTTGAAACCTGAATTTTTTGTGTTTGGATCGACGACGTCAGTGTTTGGATCCGTGACGCCTGTGTTTCCATAGGTGGCGTCTGTATTTCCATAGGTGACGTCTGTATTTCCATAGGTGACGCCTATGTTTCCATGAGTGGCGTCTATGCTTGGATCAGTGACGACTGTGTTCGAATCTATGACGCCTGTGTTTCCATAGGTGGCGTCTGTATTTCCATAGGTGACGTCTGTATTTCCATAGGTGACGTCTGTGTTTCCATGAGTGGCGTCTATGTTTGGATCAGTGACGACTATGTTCGAATCTATGACGCCTGTG